GATGAAACCTGGACACAGATGTGCTGTAAACACACTCACTGAGTGGTACAGTGTCTCCAAAGAGGTGCCAGAGCCCAACTGAGACTGGGAACTGAGGCCGCAGCTCAAGTGTTTGCTCTGTCAGAGCAGCTTCATATCTACACACAGAAACACACATTCGGTTTGTCGATTAGAAATTAATGTAATCGACAAAATTCTTAATGATCAATGATCAATTAGTCAACTAATCATGCCCATCCCTAATGTTAACTGATCTGAAAAGAAGGCATTTTCTATCCCTACACTGGTATCGGTTAATATCGGATATCAGTTTTAGTAGTATTTATATCAGTTTCAGAACTGAAAGAAGCTGGATCGGTGCATGTGTGCTGTCTTATGATTATAAATTGCTCATGTCCTATAGCGTAACATCTGAAAAAACAGCACTGTTCCCATCACATGAGACATTTAATCAAACTCCAATGATGTTTAACTTACTCAAATGACACATGTACATGAACTCTGTGTATGTTTTGCTTTGAATATTTAATTTTATGAAAATATAAGGTAACAGATTCCATTTCAGCACGTCTTTAAGATATGTACGTTGTATTTTTCTTATGGTATTACTATGACAACACAACGCTGGTGCTTAAAGCTCGGGATTTACTCTGGTCTTTTATCTTCAGTGGATCCATTAGAGCAGGTCATAGAACTGTATTTAAGATTTGTGTGAGTCTCTCTGAAGTAATAGCCAGATTTACTCGATGTATTGCTATAACTTTGAGAGAGTGAAGTTAAAGAAGAGGAGTGTTAAACAGAGGAGCAGAGCTGTCATGTCTCTGCTGCAGAACAACTAAGCACAGTCCACTAAGAGTTACTGTCTCTCACATGCACCGCCGACACAGAGCTGCCATCATATAAAACCAACTCCTGCACTTTTCACACCAAACGTCATGTAAGAATAGAAATAGCCAAACTATGCTCTCAGAAATCCAACTTTCTGAATGATTACACTGTGATTAAATGTGACTTAAACTGCAGTATAAAAGGCACTTTATATTTAAGATGACTTTGCGAGATTGGTAGTTTAGATTTTTCTTCATGAGTGATGAAGTGTATTCACTTCAAATATTTTGTTCATTTCACAAAATGGAATTATCATTTGCAAACTGAAAAGAAAGGACTTATCTTGGTTTTCTTTTTTTTTTTTTTTTTATTCAGTCTTTTTTGTATATATTTTTTGGTTCTTAAATTGATATTGTGATCTGTGTTGTCACGATCAATGATGAAATGAGCATCAGGACCATAACAGGGAGAATTCAGGTGAATAAATCAGGTCTAAAATATGCCCACATGCTTGCTACAGTTTCTCTAACATGAAGGACAACAAAAACTATGGGCAGAAGTGAAAGTAAAGCAAAAAAGTAAGAATTATAAAAAGAAAACAAAAAACTTAACTTTGGAGGAACCCAAATATCAGCAGATCAGTTAAAATATATAGATTAACAATGGGGTTTATCAAGTGGTACAGTGCTCCCTTATGTTGTACTGTGCAACATGTCTCCATGGAGCTGTGGAATGCTCCGCAATACGGCATTAAAATTAGGTGTCTTGCATGTATTCAATTCTAGTTCAAAATCAATAAAACAATGCCTACTCCAAGGATTTGACCTTTCACTTGGCCTGGTGCTCACCTGCAGGTCTGCATCAACAAATTTAGTGGAACATTATAGAAAAATCTATCTCCATGGAGACAAAGAAAGTTGCATAATGAATTATTTCATGGCAACAGTAGCTCTAAAGTAACAGAGTTTTTGTCCACTGAAGGTTCAAATCCCACTCTCGACATAAACATTGTTGGTAGAGCGGTCAGATCTCGTGATTCATAGTTCGGTGCAAAGGCAGCTCCCACAGATGAATACTCTGGTTGTGCTCTTGAGCAAGACCTATCTCGCATGAATGAATGTGAGTGAACGGGTGAGTGGTTCTTTGACCATTTTGAGTGCCTTGAAGGTGGAAATATAGCGCTATATAAAAATCGTCCATCCCTAAACCGATCTGTCCACCTTTAACTCCTCCTCCTCCCTCCGCCCCTCCTCCTCGTCCTCCTTCACTCTCTTCAGCAGGCCACCCAGACCGCATACACGTGTCAGGTTCTCTTCACAGTGCCGTGGGTCAGTGCTTGTGTGGGTGAAGAGGCCAGTGGACAGAAAAACCATTAAAATGTTTTCCAATTTGCTGAACAGACTGCGGCCCCTGACACGCGCTACCCCTGTACTCTGCTGATTAATATTCTTCAACAACTGTCTCCAGCACTGGACTTTCTGACACGGAGCTCTCAGCCTATAACCCGCTCCCCCAGGCTCTGCTCCTCACCCTCCTCCTCCCCCTGACTCACCACGTTTACACAACACTGGTCCAGCTCAGTTTAAAGAGCTCATATTACACTACTATTTTCTGATCTGTTCTAATGGAGTTTCCTCATCACAAACAGACCTGGAGTCGTGTTTTGTTTCATTCACATGTTTAACACACAAACCTGCACATTTAGACTCCTCTCTCAAACAGAAAACACTCTGTTCCACTCTGTTGTGATGTCATGTGGTAATGCAGGGAGTGCTCCATCGTGTTTTTAAACTCCATACATCTTCACTAGAGTAATTTGAATAATTTCAGTCTTGAAAGTGTCAATCTCTGCTGAACAGAATGTAACCGGGTCGGGTACCTGTAAACAGTTGCTGAAACGGGCGGGTTTTAATGTTCTGGAATTTTACGGGGGTAGTGATTACTCACGAACGGGTCAGGTTAATCAAATGAACAACAAACGGGAAAATAATCCTTGACTCGCATCCAGGACGTCCGTTGCCCTGGAAACAAGTGCCATTTCCCGTCTTTTCCCGGAAACATGTCAGACCAGGCCGAGAGAGACTTAAGTGTATTTATCACATAAAACCATCAGCGAAGGAGGTCGGCTCGGCGGCTGCAATCCTGGTTTAGTCTTGGTTTAGTCTTGGTTTAGACCTGATTAAATCCTGGTTTAGACTTGGTCCAGTGCTGGTTCAGTCCTGGTGTAGTCCTGGTAATCGACTCTGCGGTTGGCGGTGTGTATATATTTATAATCTGCTAATGACACTGCGTAGGTTTAGTCCTGGTTTAATCCTGGTTTAGTCCTGGTTTAGTCCTGGTTTAGTCTTGGTTTAGTCTTGGTTTAGTCCTGGTTTAGTCCTGGTTAAGTCTTGGTTTAGTCCTGGTTTAGTCTTGGTTTAGTCTTGGTTTAGTCCTGATTTAGTCCTGGTTTAGTCTTGGTTTAGTCCTGATTTAGTCCTGGTTTAGTCTTGGTTTAGTCCTGATTTAGTCCTGGTTTAGTCCTGGTTTAGTCATGATTTAGTCCTGGTTTAATCTTGGTTTAGTCCTGGTTTAGTCTTGGTTTAGTCTTGGTTTAGTCCTGATTTAGTCCTGGTTTAGTCCTGGTTTAATCCTGGTTTAGTCTTGGTTTAGTCCTGATTTAGTCCTGGTTTAGTCTTGGTTTAGTCCTGATTTAGTCCTGGTTTAGTCGTGGTTTAGTCATGATTTAGTCCTGGTTTAATCTTGGTTTAGTCCTGGTTTAGTGTTGGTTTAGTCTTGGTTTAGTCCTGATTTAGTCCTGGTTTAGTCTTGGTTTAGTCCTGATTTAGTCCTGGTTTAGTCCTGGTTTAGTCATGATTTAGTCTTGGTTTAGTCCTGATTTAGTCCTGGTTTAGTCTTGGTTTAGTCCTGATTTAGTCCTGGTTTAGTCCTGGTTTAGTCATGATTTAGTCTTGGTTTAATCTTGGTTTAGTCCTGGTTTAGACCTGGTTTAGTCTTGGTTTAGTCTTGGTTTAGTCCTGATTTAGTCCTGGTTTAGTCTTGGTTTAGTCCTGATTTAGTCCTGGTTTAGTCCTGGTTTAGTCCTGGTTTAGTCATGATTTAGTCTTGGTTTAATCTTGGTTTAGTCCTGGTTTAGTCCTGGTTAAGTCCTGGTTTAGTCCTGGTTTAGTCCTGGTTTAGTCTTGGTTCAGTCCTGGTTTAATCCTGGTTTAATTCTGGTTTAGTCCTGATTTAGTCCTGGTTTAGTCCTGGTTTAGTCATGATTTAGTCCTGGTTTAATCTTGGTTTAGTCCTGGTTTAGTCTTGGTTTAGTCTTGGTTTAGTCCTGATTTAGTCCTGGTTTAGTCCTGGTTTAATCCTGGTTTAGTCTTGGTTTAGTCCTGATTTAGTCCTGGTTTAATCTTGGTTTAGTCCTGGTTTAGTGTTGGTTTAGTCCTGATTTAGTCCTGGTTTAGTCTTGGTTTAGTCCTGATTTAGTCCTGGTTTAGTCCTGGTTTAGTCATGATTTAGTCTTGGTTTAGTCCTGATTTAGTCTTGGTTTAGTCCTGATTTAGTCCTGGTTTAGTCATGATTTAGTCTTGGTTTAATCTTGGTTTAGTCCTGGTTTAGTCCTGGTTTAGTCTTGGTTTAGTCTTGGTTTAGTCCTGATTTAGTCCTGGTTTAGTCCTGGTTTAGTCCTGGTTTAGTCATGATTTAGTCTTGGTTTAATCTTGGTTTAGTCCTGGTTTAGTCCTGGTTAAGTCCTGGTTTAGTCCTGGTTTAGTCCTGGTTTAATCTTGGTTCAGTCCTGGTTTAATCCTGGTTTAATTCTGGTTTAGTCCTGGTTTAGTCCTGGTTTAGTCTTGGTTTAGTCTTGGTTTAGTCCTGGTTTAGTTCTGGTTAGGACTAGAACTAGACAGACTAATAACGCAGGATTACTCAAACACCTTATGATGTCATGTAGTGGTAGTTTTCAAGTTCAGAGAGGCAATTTCAGGGCTGAAAACATCAGAAGTAGAATAAATCTGCAGGGTTTGTGTGTTAAATGTGTGTGAATGAAACAAAACAAAAACTCTGGTATGTTTTTGGTGAGGAAACTACTATAACAGAAATGGTGGTCATGTGGGCCCTTTAAGCAGCCTCGGACTTCTGTGTGGATGTGAACACAACACAGTCTCTGGGGTTGCTCTCACCTCGTAGAACTTCCGTGCAGAGTCGGCCTGGAGCTTGTCAAAGGTCTGGAGGTCCGCCTGCTCCACCAGCTTGTCTCTGTAGACGCGGCTGGACTCGTGGAGGTATATCTTGAGCAGGTCTGCGGGGGTCTTCAGACAGTCAGGAGTACAGAACAACATGCCCTGTAAACACAGAGTGAGACAGGGCTCAGGGGCTGGTCTCAGGACTAAAGTGTACGGATGTGAACCCTAACCCTCACCTCTCATTCACTACACAGACCTGTACTCTTTAGAGGAATCTACAGTGCACTTATTCACAGAGAGATTGGGACACACAGGTCACTGCAGTCGGGTCATGTGAATGTGGTGTCCGGATGAAAAAGAGTCTAAAGGCTAAACTCTGATAAAACTTGATTTGTGTCATAAATAAAGATCCGACTGGACTGACACAAGTGTTTATGGACTAATAATAACCAGACAAGTCGTTGTCACACTGGATCTCACGTAAACAGACTGGATTATTCAGCTTTTTGTCTGACATGTGGACATTTTTATCGGTTTGTGTTAAGGTAAGTGGATAACTCTTACACCTTTACACTGTAACAGTTTATTTAAGAGAGTTTTATTCAGGATCAGGTTGTACAGAGTGCCATAAACCACAGCTTCTGTCTGCAGTTAAACACCTGTCTCTGTCCACTGCTGTTTCTCCAACTACTACAATACACTGTGGTCTATATTGACCAGTCTATTGACCACAGATACACACACTCATTTACTTCACTACATTTTCATCTGCGGGTTATTTGGACACTACTGAAAATATGTGACTCCTAAATAATACCTTATGTACAGAATAGAACACAGCTTAATAAAAACAGAAAATAGCATTTAAAGTGCATATGACAAGCTACATTTCAAATCTCACCAAAACATACTTAAAGAAGGTATATTACACTTATACATGGTATTAGTTGCTCATTTAAAATATCAAAAACATATTAACATGTTTAATAAATTTCAGTTTTGTTGTCCATGTTAAACCACTCATGACATTACAATCGCTGTGCATCCTGCTAATGAAACTAGTGCCAATCATATCAGGTTTGTGAAGTTGTAATGTATTGTTTCATGGACTGTTCATGGAGAAGGTGATTGGCTAAAACACAGAATGTAAATGTCATTAGGCAGTCCCACAGATTGTCCTGACTTTTAATTGGTTTAGCTCTGACAAGCAGGTGAATATTCACAGTTTTCAACAAAACTGAGGAAACATACAGCACATAAGAGGATTCAATGGATGTATATCATTATTTATAATTTACTCACACTGCTTATTGTAAGTGCAGGTTCTTCTTTTAGACTTGTATAAGTGCTGTCATGTGGAGAGCATATGTTTGTAATGTTCAGATATCTTTACATTTGGTAAATGCTCTTTGGACACAGTCTGCCTCATAAAGGGGACAGCTGTTTGCCCGGCGCTGTTGTTCTGTTGTGAGTCTGTTTCGATGCTTTTGATCACTGTGGATGAGAATCACTGGTACTGGGTACATTTGGTGATTTGCAGAAGAAATGAGGCAGAACAGAGCTAATTTTTACTTTGTTTTACTGCAAAGGGCGTGTATTTGAGGATTTTTTTTTTGTTGGTAATTTAATAGTGACGTTATTAGGTAATTTGTTACTTTCATCTTCCCCACTGAACTGCCACCTTACTATACCAGCTATATCGCCTGGGGCATTATGCCCGTGGTAGGGTCTCCCATGGCAAACAGGTCCTTTGTGAAGGGTTAAACCAAGAGCAGTTCATGAACCCCTAGGACATGAAAAAGGATTGTGAAGTCACAGGGTATGGTGCAGCCGGGGCCCCACCCTGGAGCCAAGCCTGGGGTTGAGGCTTGAAAACGACTGCCTGTTGGCGAGGCCTTTCCCCACAGGGAGACAGGTCTCTCATTGTGGTGTCAGCCAACAAAGCCAATGATCGACTTTGTTGTTGTGACACTGGACCTCTGGCCGCATGTCTTGCACACTCAGGTGAAGAGAGGGGCAGAGCTGTCAACCAATGTTGGAGTTGGATCTGCTGGTAGAGAAGAAAGCTGGAAAAGACCTGGCAGACCCAAGCAAATCAGCAGAACCTTCAACTCACACCTCTGGGAGACCTTCTCCTAGATCCCAGAGGAGATTGGGTATATAGAATCCGAGTGACCATGTTCTCCACCTCCATTGCCAATGTGTCAATGTTGCTGTGGTCGCAAGGTTTCCTGTGCTGTGGCAGCAATCCCCAAACCTGGCGGTGGACAGTGGAAGTAAAAAGGGCCATCAGGCTGAAGAAGGAGTCCTGTTGAGCCTTGTTGGCTTGTGGGATTCCTGAGGGAGCTGACAGTTACTGACAGGTACTTCACCAACACTGTTTACAGTGCAAGCAGGAAAGAGAGACTAGGGACTCAGAGACGGACTCGTCCATCACCCTGGCTGAAGTCACTGAGGTGGTTGGCAATCTCCTTGGTGGCAAGGCTCCGGTGGTGGCCGGGGACAGCGCCTCTGGACTGGCAGACCGGGGCAGTGTTCCCTGTGTTTAAAAAGGGGGAATGAAGGGTGTGATCCAACTACAGGGGAATCACAGAGGGTACCAGAGAGGAGATGGTCCAACCTCGGATCAGTGTGGTTTTCGTCCCGGTGGTGGAGCAGCTCTACACTCTCCATCTGGTGCTCGAGGGTTCATGGGAGTCCACATGTGTTTTGTGGATCTGGAGAAGGCATTTGACCATGCCCCTCGTGATGTCCTGTGGAGGGTGCTCCAGGAGTATACGGTCCAGGTTCCTTTGCTAAGGGCTGTCCAGTAACAAATAACTGTAATAATTACTCTTTTTGGAGGATATTGCCCAATACTGTATATATGCAACAGGATGTTATTTGGGCTGCAGTCGACTAAACAAATTCTTGATAGTTGGCTAAAAAGGGACATGGCAAAAGCTCAAAATGATCACTGATCTTTATGAATCTGAACCAAACTGCATTCACAACACTGCGCCTTCACCAGAGCTGGATTGCCTTTGTGAATCATGAGTTTAATCTGCCTTTTTCTATGAATTCATTTAACTCACTCACTCACTCACTTCCTATAAATCCCTATAATCAAACTAAATGAGTAAATCCATACATATTTTGGTTAACTAAGACACCATCAACCAACTAATAAACCATAAAAAAATTATTATGAAATGCAGAATCAATACTACAAATACATATCTAGTTTTGTTTTAGTATCAATTAGCTTTCCATATTGCTTCTTTTGAGAACCATCGTCTAAAATATACAGAGCAGTGTCTATTTGCACACATTCCTATTAGCATGTTAGTGGGCTGATTCGTCCTTGAGTCCTGTTCCCAGCCTGCTCCCTCCTCACTGTGAGACTCCTCAAAGTCTCTGTTTACTCTCAGGATTGCGGCGTCTCCAAAGTGACCTTGTGTTACCCCAGGGGAGAGTCAGCCATTAACTCTTGTACCACTGTTTTACTGATGCCAAATGGAAAACAAACTGCTAATCCAGATGCCAGGACGAGCAGCGGAGGAGGGATTTGCCCTGACTAATTCTTAATTGGTTTAGTCAAGAGGAAAAATAATGAAGCACTCACAAGTTTGAGGCCACACAGCGGAAGTGACAACAGTGAGACAGTTTACTGAAAATGGAAAGAAAAAAACTAATCAGTTTGGATAATTGCGAAGGAGTAAAAAGACGTTTAAAGAAGCTCTGTTTTATTTCTACGGGGTGTTAACTGCAAACACACAACATACTAGGACCATCATGCTACCTTGTTTGTATTGTTTGTCCCCCTCCCTTTGCTTCCTGCATTAAAGGGACAGTTTGGAATGTGGATATAGGGGCTCATTTCCTAGTAAACCAGAGTGTTGGAGACGTGTGGAGACACTTGTAAAAAATATTCCATCCAGTCCTTGTATTTGTAGAGGTCGCTGGTGCTAGACTAATGCATGTCAATGGTCATAGTTCTCCTGTCACTAAAAACAGTCTTACCCACTCCACAAAACACCCAAAACAAATCTATTATTACACCAGACTGTCCATGTGAATGTCTGTGTTGATAGTAGTGATGGTCAAATGAGTCGGAGCTCTGGAGCACGTCTTTTTCTTTCTGAAACAAATCGCTCTGAAGCACTGCCTCAGAGCTCGCCTCGCAGCAGCCGCTCACTTGACCAAAGTGTCCAAGTGTCGATCCCTCCCCTCCTGCTTCACTCTACGTGTCAATCGCTTCAGTGTATTGAAGCGTTTCATTGGCTCGGCGAATGTTCCACTCTGCGATTGGTTCAGATGCTTCAGAGTGTTCAGCGCACTTCTGTGGTTTGACAAGTGCTAAACTGCTACAGCATAAAAGATGCACCAATATTTCTTAAACATGTTGGATAGTGAGGAGTATTGTGTGGCGTTAGGGGTGATTTTGGTGACTTTTGGCGACTTTTGGCATTTGTTTCATTTTCAATAGCATCTACAAGTGGAAGAAAGTGATGGTTTGGGATCACTGATCTAATTCCACCTAACAAGGTCACCTATTTTCTTATTTACAGCATGTTATTTATGTTGCTCTTTACATATTATTTTAAATCATCATTATTATTGTTGTTGTGAGGTACAGTGTCGCTCTGCACACAACTATTGTCTTATTGTTAAATTTGTCCACTAGAGGTCAGTGTTTCTCCGAGGAATCAGACACGTCCAACCATTTGAGACAATATTGCGACTGAGGTGTCAACGCTTCTCGAGGCTCCATTCGCCCATCACCAGTTAATAGAATAATATAATAATGTTTGAAATAAAACTAATTTAGCATCGCATGAATCATCGCATGCTGAGGGACTATTTTCTCAGCAGCAGAAGTTGACTTTGCCGGTAAGATAGGCGTTAGGTGATAACAGTCCACCGCTGCCAAGTTTTCTATCAGGAAGTACAACTCACTGCTGCTGCTCAGAGAGAAATTCTTCAAATGCAAGGTTGGTTTTACTTCTAAAATTATTCTATCAACACAGACATTTACATGAACAGTCTGGTGTAATAATAGATTTGTTTCGGGTGCTTTGTGGAGTAGGTACTAGGAAATGAGGTCCTATGTCCAAAATTCCAATCTGTCCCTTCAGAGTGCAACACAATCACAACACAATCAGTGTGCGTTCTGCTAC